TTCCATAAGTTTTTAATTTTTTTTACAGGCTCTGAATTTGACTGCTCAGATCTTTTCAGTGTTCTCAGATCTCAATCCATCCATACATTCAGGCATCCATCCAACAAGCCATCTACTCAGCTATCCTTCGAACTAGCAATCCATCCATCAAGCCATAAACCCATTCATCAAGCTTCTTATTCGTCAAGCAAGCCATATAACCAGCCATCAAGCCAATCATTCATTAATCGGTCCATCACTCTAGCCATCAGTCTATCTAGCTATCCAACAAGCCATCCATACATCAAGCCATTCATTCTTCAAGCGATCCATCTATCTGCCCTAATCGATCCATCCATCAAATCAGCCATTCATCAATTCAGACGTCATTCAAGCTATCTAAAACTTCAAACTATCATCCATTCAACCTGCCATCTAACCAATTATTCGTTCTTCTATCCTGTCATCCATACATCTATCGACACATCCCTCTGTCTATCCCCCTCAATACTCCCATCATCCACTCAACCAGCCATTCATCCATCCATGAAGCCACTATACATCTAGCCATCGGTTGATTAATTGAGCCAGCCATCCAATCATCTTGCCATCCGTCCATCCAACCACCAATCCTTTCATCTAGCTATGCATCGATCTAGCCACACATCCATTCATCCATTCAACTAGCCTTCTACTTACCAATTTTGCGCTCAATCATCCTGCCATCTATTCATCCTTCAAACGATTCAACCATCTAAGCCAGCTATCAATCATCCTGCAGTTCATCTACACATTCCCCAGTCCCTTATTCGTACACCATCATTGATCTAGCCGTCTATCCATCTAGATTTCTATCCGTCCCGCATACATTCATTTAGCTATTCATACATCCCATAAGTTATCCATGCAGCTGCCCATCGTCGATCTAACCTACAATCCAACTAGCCATCCCTCCATTCATTTAACAAGCGATTCCTCCAATAAGCCATCCTCCCATCAAGCCATTCATTTTTCAAGCGATCCGCCCTTCTAGCTATTCATCCATCTAGTCATCAACCTATCCATCCAGACATCCATCCATCAACAAGCCATGCATGCACCTGGCCCTCCATCCATTCAGTCGTCTCTCATCACGCCATCCATCTATCGAGTCACCATACATCTACCCATCAATTGATCCAGCCATCTTTTTTTGCCATTCGTCCATATAACCAGCAATTCATTCATCTGGCTTTTCATCGATCTAGCCATCCATCAATCCTGCCTTCCTTTCATCCAGTACGCCAGCCTTCCAGCTATCACTATAGCCCTCCGTCAACCCTGCCATCTATTCATCCATCCAACGATCGACTCATCTCCGCCATCCATCAATCATAAGGCCGTCTATCCCCATATCTATCCAGTCCTCCAACAAACCTTTTATCATCGATCTAGCCATCCATCCGTGTAGGTATCCATCCATTCATGCATATCAGTCATCCATGCATGCAGCTGTTCATCGTCAATCTAGCCATCATTCCAACTAGTCATCTCTCCATACATCCAACGAGCCGTCCATCCATCAATCCATTCTTTTTTCAAGCGGTCATTTTATCTTGGTATCCATCCATCTAATCATCAATCCATCCAACAATCCATGATTCCAACAAGCCATTTATGCTCCATCCATTGTATGCAGCTGTCCATTGTCGATCCAGCCATCATTCCAACTAGCCATCTCTCCAGTCATCCAGCTAGTCATCCATCCATCAAACCATTCATTCTTCAAGCGATCAAATTATCAAGGTATTCATCCATCTAATCATCAACCCATCCAAGCATCCATCCGTTCACTAAGCGATCCATATATCTAGGTATCCAACCATCTAATCATCAATCCATCCAAACATCCATCCGTTAAATAAGCCATCTATTCAGCCGTCTCTCAATCCTGCAATCCATACATACTGCCATATATTCAACCAGTCTCCCCGGCATCTAGCCATCCGCCCAGCCATCAAACTATCTATCTATCAATCCATTTTGCCATCCATACAGTCACGTATTCAGCCATCAATCCATTTAGCCTACCAAGCTACCATTCTTTCATCCATCTATTTCCTCGATTCGGCCATCCGTACATCCAACCAGTTATTCTTCGATGTAGCCGTCACTCAAGCCGTCCTACCATATGGTCATCCATGCGTCCATCCAGCTATATATCCTGCCTTCACTCCATCCTTTCATGCATCCAGTCAATCATTCAAACATCCATCGATCCATCCAATCATTTTTACAGGCAGCTAAAAACCCATCCAGTCTATTTTTTGCTAAAGATAAACGATGATAATTTTCATGCAGCTTCAGCTGCATGGGGCCTGCTATTTAGTTTTTAAGTCTATTTGATTTTCTCGTGTTAACGGCTTTATTCTAGGCCGATGGGGTTTCTGCTTGGCTGAAGGGGTTTCTGCTAGGCTTAAGGGGTTTCTGCTAGGCTTAATCGGTTTCTGCTATGATTTCTGCGACCCTTTTCCATTCAATAGACTTTTTGGCAACTTTGATTTTTTTTGACGCAGTGGTATTATATATTTTTTGTCCACAGGAGTTAAAAGAACTAGCTTAAGTTAATAGATAGCTTAAAATGTGATATAAAAAATCAATTTAAAAAAGTTTTAAATTTTGAGTTCATTCAAAAAATACTATTTTTTTTTTATATTTTGAGCGCATCTCTTGAGTTTGTACACATGAGAGCGTTGTGTATCAGCATGAAACTATTGTTTTCCAAACTAGCTCGCCAATAAAAGTGCTCATTTGGTGGCTTTTTTCTTATAATCACGAATTGTATCATTGGAAATTTCATAGCATCTCTTCTCTGCTTTATTTGTGGCTTTTGTTTGTCGATCATAAAGCGTCCGTGGCCGGGATGTAAGGAAGTGAGATTCCAAATCTTGAATTCGTAGGTTCGAATCTAACACAAAAGTTTAACTAACTCGAGGCTGATTTCAGCTTTTTCATATTTCATTTTATAGAGCTGCTGTTTTCTTGCTAGTGTTCGCGAAGTGCAGCTTCGGCTCTGCGAATAATTTCTGGTTATAGTCGTCATTTCAGTATAGTGGAAGATTTTATCTATACATTCATTTTTGTTCTAATTTCCTCTTTTATGTTTTTTAAATTTGAATGCTAGTTTCACTAATTCGCCGCCTTTAAGCTTTTTCAACGTATTATTTTTGCATGTTTAACGAAAGAATTTTTTCACGTTTAAGCTATATCGTATTCTGCAATGGTTAAGAATCGTTTTTCGATTTTCCAATTTGATTTCAATGTTTCTGTCACTGAAATAAGAATAAGCAGTGGGAAGCAGTCAGATTTTTCCCAGATGTTGCGAAATTGGCTTCCAAGTAAAAATATCAAAATCCTTTTAGTGTACGAGATAGGATTGTCGTTTTCAGTATGAAACTATTTTTGTGATTTTTCAAAAATTTTCAGAAAACTCAGATTACAAAAAAAAATTACGAACTTTGAAATTCCCAGCCCTGTAGTTTGGTGCTGTTAGAGACTCTCAAGAATTGCGAATCTTGCTTTCAAATATGACTGCTCAAATCCTTGTAGTTTTCGAGATATGAATTGTTTTATGATTTCTTTTTAATTTTTCGGCAAACTTAGTTTTGAAAAATCAAAAAATTTAAATTCCCAATCTTGATGTTGGGTACTGTAAGAGTATTCTCAGCAGTTCCAAATTTCAAATCTTGCATCTAAGTGCGGCTGCTGAAATGCTCTTAGTTTCCAAGATGATACGTTTGTGATGTATTATTTTTTAAATTGTTCGAAGAACTTAGACACAAAATTTTCATAAAATTGGAAGTTCCAGCTCTACAGTGAGGTTCTTTCAGGGTACTCCCAGAAGCTGCGAATATTGCCTCCAAATTTTACTGCTCAAATAATGGTAGTTTTCGAGATCTGCTGTTTTTTGTTATTTTTCAACAAATTTTCAGAAAACATAAATTATTATTTTTTCTAAATTTAAATTTACCAACCCTGTAACTGGGGGATGTCAGAGTACTCTCAGGGTTTGCAAATCTTGCCCCCAAATATGAATGCTCAAACCTTATTAATTTTCCAGATATGGCGTTTTTTGTCATTTTCTTTCAAAAGTTTTTCAGAAATTTTAATTTATTATTTTTTTAAATATGAAACTTCTTACTCTGAAGTTTGGGGCTGTCAGTGTACTCTCAGGGATGCGAATTTTGTCTCCAAATATGATTACTCAAATGTTGGTACTTTTCGAAATGTGAAGTTTTGTTTTCTACGGTTTTTTCAAAAAAAAAATAGAAATCTTAAGTTCGAAGTTTTTCAAAGTTTGAAATTACCAACCCTGTAATTGGTTGCTGTGAGAGTACACTCAAGATGCAGATCTTATTTTCAATATATACGGTTTTTAAGAGTATTTGAAAGTGCAAAGCACCGGAGGTGCATTACACGCTAGTCTACCGAATTTTTGAATTGTTTACACAAAATTAGCAAGTGTTATCAATTTGAGCGCCTTGGTTTTTTAAGCAACTTGGCGTATAAAGACCATTTTTTCTGCCCATTTTGTAAATTTTGGTCACTTCATTCAGTTTTAAGTTCATACTGTAAATAATGTTAAAGGGATAGAAGCTTCCGCTGTTACATGCATTCAACTTTTTTAAACTTTTACCGGGAAAATTCTTTAGACTCTTTCGATTTTAATAGGTTAACTAAATATGAGAGAAAAAGGCATCCGCGTTACTCACTCCCTCATCCTATACGCTGGCGCTATATTAATCGGCAAATTTTAAGCAGTTTTCCATGATACTAAATAACTTTTGAAAACCAAATCACAATCGAAAAGGTCTTTAAATTAAGCTTTAAGTTTTTTCATATTTTATGAGGAATTAGACCTAATCTTTCTTGAATATGTAAGCTAAAAAGTCTCCGTGTCCCCTTTTGTGGTCGAAAAAAAACTATGATCTGATTTAATGTGGGTTTAGTTTTTTGTGCTGAGTATACTCAAATTAACTTGCCTTTCTGCTTGTGCTCTAGTACTGGGCGTTTGAGCAGGAGCGCCTTGCGTAGCATTAGGTTCCGGAATTCTCGCATGTAGGGAATCTTCATGCTCTCAGGAAGCTGCATCAATCTAAGATATACAGGCTGCGTTTCAATGACTCAGTTCTAATTTTCATTTATGTTGTATTATTTATAGAACTAAAAAAGAACGAATTCTGAAGTTACTTAGTTTTTTTTCCGTAGTTAGTTAAATTGAACTGAATGGACAGGATCAGATCAGTAAATTGAAATGGAGAAACTATTGAACCATAATCGTAGATTCGATCTCAGTAAACTGCTGTTTTTCTCTTGCAAAACAAAAACCGAAAGAACTGTTGGAATAAAATAGCCCTTGTCATGAACCTAGCAATTTAAGAATCATTTGAGGAGAGGTCAATTCTTTATCTTCTATTAATCTTCTATTACGCAATTTGAATATTTAGTACCTAATTCGTTTTTTGGTCTGATAAAATACTGAAAGTTTGGCTTAATGAACGCACCTAAGTTGGAGAGTCGAGTGAACAAAATGGATTGTGGAACCTGATCTAAACTACATTTTATTATTGGATAAATTAGATATTTTACCACTGTAAAATATTTAATATTAACCAATCATAATCCATCCAACTAACAACCCACTTATTTGCAAGTGCTGAAATTACTTGTAATTTCAGCACCAGAGAGATTTGAATTTAACTTAGAAATTAGTTACCTCTCTAAGAGAACTTCAGCAGTTGCAATAAGCCAGTATACTCTAGATCTATTGAGCCTAGCAGAGACTAGTTAAACACCCTGAGACTAGTAGATATAAGAGTAAGATTGGGATCGGTATTAGACTAAGAAGTTGCACGAATCTATCCGGCCGAAAATAAGATAGCGTGACGAGCAGACGGTGTACCCTATCCTAATTTATTCTATGAGTTAACCACATCGGTCCTAACTCATCTGGTGCGACCATAAGTCTCGAATAAGACCTTAATAGCTTAGAGTTAACCAAATATAGATTAGAATTTAGACAAAACATTTTCAAAATTTTACATGATAATAACTTAATTGAAATGTCTCTACGACTCAATAGATCAGAGCCGATATTCCGAACAATACTAGAACTACCCGGTATTGGAAGAAGATCTCGGACAAAAGACGATATACGACTACGTAGAAACTTACCATTTAATTTTAGGGTTGTACGGCAAAAGCCAACACAAATTTTTATATTTAGAATCTTATTAGCAATGAATTTAGATTTTCATTTGCAAACATAAAATTTTGAAGTAAATCTTCATGATCATTTCAGGCGCTAAACAAAATTATTAATGTACAATAACGATTGATAAAAAGATCTCAGATCGTTCCCTTAATTTCTGCAGTATTATATAAAACATATTTGAAAAATATTTATTGAAAATAAAAATAAAAATTAGTAGCATGACAATAAATAGTTAGTAATCTTAAACCATCTTGTTGTTCCAGCTTCATCACCTAAACATAACAGCAATCATAAGCTCACGAACATCATTAAATAACTAAATCTTTTTATTAAATAAATTTAAACCATTTTAAATTTAAATTCACTTAATTTTAAAAATCAGATCATCAAGGCTTATCCTTGGATCTTAAAAAAATTTTTCTATCTCATTAAAATTAAAATCTGATCATCAAGGCCTATCCATGGATCAAAAAGAACAATTTTGTTCTCCCCCACACACTTAGCAAGTGTCTAACGACCTCAAACGTCGATTCACTATCCAACCTTTCCAAAAGACCCAGGACTAATAGAAATTTTTAAATAAAACCAACCATTCAAATTAAGTTAAACAGTGAAAAACTTCGGTTATTCATCCTTCACTTGAACCCTCCTCTTACCAGACCCAAGATAGATCTTAGACTTAGTAAGTTTAAAATAGTATCCAACGAACTTGATCTTTTAATTGAGCGTTCTAATTATACCTGAACCTTGTGGATCGATTTACTATTCTCCAACCCTTGAACACAATTACTACCCCTAAGTAAGATTAAGTAAGTTAACACCTTAACTGAGACTAGCCACGAGAAAGTAAAAAATCATTCTCCGGAATCGATATACTTTTCTCTCCAACCCTGAATAAAAGATCCAAGTTAAGCTAACCAAAAAATCGTAAGGACTAACAGTCTAGGAAAATAAAAATCACTAACAACTTCTTGCATCCCTCATCCTAAACCTTATGTCATTCAAAAATTTAGAAAAAAAGCAAACAATCGTTTTACACAATTGTGAAATAGATAACCAAAAGTACGATCTTGTAATCACTCCACATACACAAACAGCTGGATACATTCGAACAAAACGACAAACAATAAAAAGAAAAATTATAAACAAACAAAGACAAATCACACGAAAAAGATTTTCAAAAAATAGAAACGCATTTTCTGAATCAGAAGCCAACAGTTTAGACGAACTATACAAATTAAAAGAATCAATAAATAAAAATTGCCCCATTCATGATCAATTATATTTTTCCGACTCAGAAACAACTTCAAATTCATCAAAAAGAGGAAAAAGAAGAATAAAAAAGCAATATAAGCACAAACCAGTACACCTGTATAATTGGAATCAACCGATTAGACACATTGATAGCTATATAATAACAGTCATCAAACGAAAAAATGAGCCACACTCAAAGTGACGAAAGTCCAGATGAAGAAGCAGTTTTTCCCTTTCTTATAGATTGACTCGATGATAGAGGACAAACAAGATTTTTGTAAGAACTTACTCGTAAATTAGTTTGAACCAGGAATCAGGCCATGCAAAGCAGAATTCCCGGATGTAAAAATCAAAAGACAAATTATTGAACATTATTTGAAAGACATATGTAATCTAACACAACAATACGGAATCTACACCATCGAATTCAGCACACCAAATACAGCACATCGTAAATATGTAGTTCAAACTGACGATATTGAATTAGAATTTTAAAAAGTTTTCATAGAATATATCAAAAGCAAACAATATCATAATTCACAAAGAGCAAACTCCATATTCACTAACGAAGTTTTTGCAATAATATATAGTTATATATCTATATTAGAAAAAACAGAAGTTCAAAGTATATCACCAACCGAAACATCCAAACATACAAAAGTACGAAATGAAATCACAGTATTTTCAACATTTTTAGACATAATATGTGAAAATTTTATCAATAATGATGTCTCACAAAACACTAAACATGATTTACAAAAAATCGTCCAAACAACAGCAACAACTACACAACAAAGTATTTCACCAATACATCCCAATCTGACAACATCAAGAAATACAAATACATCGCTAACACAGGTAACCTTACAATCAACCGTTAAACCTTCGGTTGCTCCAAAATATTCACATATGGACTATCAAACGTATAGATCAATGACAATACCGTCAAAAACACGAAAAACGTTCACAAGAAACACGTTTGCAGAACACAATTATAATTATGCTCACCAATCAAAAACATATCAACCTCCCCGAAAAACTACACAAAGTTTAAATCACGTATTTTCTCATTATTGGAATCTTCCAAAAACATCGATCAATTCAGTAAATTTTCCAGATAATCCACAACCTACACAGGATTATAGTGGAAATTACCCATTTTTTCAACAAAATAAAAACAACAACATACACCATAAAACACAAACTATTTATCATCTGATGACGATGATTATCATCAACCAGATATTTTTGCACCATATACTAAAGAATATCGCACACAGAGACCGAGACAGTCTCAACCATCTCAAAATATGAAAATTTATCCCCAAAATCCAACAGATATACAAAATCCACAGCAAATGCATATACAAAACCCGTTTAACGCACAATCTTTTCAACCAATACAACCACAAAACCCAATGTTAATGCGTTCTTATCAACCAACCCAAATGCAAAATGAAATACCGCTTCCATATTACCTTCAGCAACATGAAATCACAAAAAATCAACTTTCAAATTTTTCACAAATGCCAAATGCCGCAAAATCACTACAGATGACTATGAATCCATACCTCATGGGTGGATCATCAATAACATCGAATAAATCATTAATGGTATTCACAGGAACAGACCCTGAATATTCTGTAGAAGATTATTTAAATGCAGTAACAGCAAATTGAATTTTAAATATAAGACCCTAACCAATTAATACGCCACTACATCAAAATTGGATACATAGACGCACAGCGTTAATACAAACAACACTAGATGGCGCAGCTCAAAAATGGTTTTCAGTATTACCCATAGAAATAAAATCAGACTGGAAAAGATTCACACAAGAATTTTCAAAAATGTTTGATTCTGAAAGAAACAAACAACATCAAAGAGTTTTATGCAACGAAATCCGCAGATTACCAAATGAAACAATTAAACAATTAGCAGTACGAATCGAAACACTAGTTCGAAAAGCATATTCACTTAATACACATGACTAGAAAAACACCAAAATGACGGAAATTTTAATGATGACCTTAACACCTCAATTAAGGAAAACAGCTATAAAAAAGAGAGCATCTCATCCTTCCTCAATTCGAGAACCAGATTTACATTTTCTAAAATTAGTAGATAAACTAGAACACGCAGAAATCACAATGAAACTCGAAGAAACAGAAAATCTAAAACTACAAAATGTTAATCGGATTGAAACAAATACCACACATATAAATAACATACAAGAATCAGACACAGACCTGATTGAAAAAATCACTGAAATACTAAATATCTACGAAAAACATCCAAACTTTAAAGGCAAACCATCTTTCAAAAATGGTGTAATTATTGCCGACGATACGGACACAGTATTTTCGAATGTAGACAAAAACAACAAAACAATCAGAATAAACCTCAAAAGCACAAAGAACCAAATAAATCATTCTATCAATACATGAAGAAAGACCAAAATCTACCAAACAAAAATATATATAGTAACAACAGTTCAGGAAAACCACTTACAAGCAACTCAAATTACACAAGAAATCAATCACAATATAACTCAAGTTATAGAGGTAGATCACCCGAACGAGGAAATACACGAAATTTCTCACAAAATAGATATAACCGATCGAATA